AAATAGTATAAGACTTCTAATAAAACTCCTAGCACTCTCCAGATTCTCTCTGTCCTGTGTCCCTCTCTTTGTTTCTTTTGCTGTTAATCTTCAAATATTGTTCCTCCTTGATTAAATTTTAGACATTATCTATTGATCCTACCATGAAAAAAATAATCACATTTCTTTTCTTTTTTCTTTTTGAGAAATCCACCTTTTATTTAAACAATTCCCAGCCAAGCTCAAAGCAATCCCACTTTGTAAGTAATTTACATGGACAATTTAGACAGAGGTAGGGGGTACCTGAATTGTAAGGAAAATGATCTTATCTCTCTCTTTTTAAAAAATTCTTTATTGTTTAAAGTATTACATAAGTCTCCTTTTCCCCCCAGCTGCCCCCACCCCCTACATTTCTTACATGACCAAAATACATTTTTTCCTTCACTTCCTTGCATTGATGACATTTTTGCTTTAAGTCAATATTTGATATTTGTATTTTATGCTATATAAATATTTTTTAGGCCACGTAGAGAACTATTACATTTCCTTTCTTACACATTAATTTTTTTATTATAGCTAATAACTACATCATTTTATCCATGTTTAGTGTGGCTCTTTTAAAATGTGGGCCCCAAATTCTTGGAAACTCTTCCCATTTGATAGGTGAGATCTACAACCTTCCCCTTGAATTGACAGGAGACCATGGAAGTGACTGGGACTTGGGAGGCTAATTCTAAGACATGGTGCAGCTGGAACACTTGCATTTGGAGTTCTCATCAGACAGGTAAACAGTTGGACTACTCTGCTGCTGCCGGGCTGTGAGAAAGCCAGACTAAATGGAGGGGCCATGTGTGAGCACTCTGGTTGGTCAGCAGCCTGGTTTCTTGACAGCCCAGCCCAGGTGCCAGGTGAGAGTGGAGCCTCCAAATAATCCCAGGCCCCAGCATTACTGAGTCACTTCTAGCCACTGGGTCTTTCCAGCGGAGGCCCCAGAAATCACAGAGCAGTCACCCCCGCAGTGCACTGTCCAAATTCCTGACCCAGAGAATCCATGAACACAATAAAATGATTATTTGAAGTAGCTAGGTTTTGGGGCAAATTTTGTGTTTGCAGTAAAAGTAACAGGAACCCTTACTTTTCTGTGCCTATCATTATTTGTCCCTAAATTCTCTATATGGTTGAGGACATTAGGCAATCATCAGTCCCATTTTTCCTTTAGAGATAGTTCTCCTGGAGGTCTCTGTCTTCTTGTTCCAATGCAGACTGGATGCATAGCCATCAGCCCAAGACTTGCTTGGATTAGAAACAGTGTAGCATGTTACTCTAAGGACATGGGCCCTGGAGCCAGGCTACATAGGCTTGAATCCTGGCTCCACCATGTGCTACCTGTGTGACTGTGCACAGGGTAGTTAATCCCTCTGTGCCTCTGATTTCTCATTAGAACAGTTTTTGGCATATGGTAAGTGCTCTTATTATTGGCAACACTGTTGGCTTATTATTCTTTCCTTCATTTTGTCCTAGGATTTCCCACTGCCTCACACCTATTTCTGATCCCCTACTTCCTAAAGTCCATGACTTTCTTTTTCTTGGTTACTTCTTGCCTTGATAGAAATACCTCACCTACTCCCTGAAAAAAGATGCTTGGAAGGTAAGTTTTTTTGAGATCTTGCTTATCTGTTTTAAATTGTCTTTATTTAATGTCACATTGGCAACATGACTGGCATAAAATTCTAAGTTGGAAATAATTTTCTCTTTGAATACTGAAGTGAACTCCATTGTCTTGAAGCTTTCAGTGTCTCCACGGCCATTTGGATTACCATTATTATTTTTTAAAAAGTGCCCTGAGTGGGGATCAAACCCATAACCTTGGTGTACTGGAACAATGCTCTAACCAACTGATTCTTGATCCTTTGCAGGTAGGATTTTCTTTTTCTTTCTGTAAGTATTAGGATATCTTCTTTATCCCCATTGTTTCAAAATCTGATAATGATATGATTTGGCATGGGTCTTTTAAAATTCATTATTTAGGGCACCAGTTCAATTTGGAGACTGAGGGCCTTCAATTTTTAGAAATTTTCTTTTCTTTTAAAAAATTCATTGTTAATTTTTTTTTTGTCTGCATTTTCAGTATTCTCTTTTTGGGATTCACAATACATAGAGAATCTTTTAAATTGGTCCTCCAATTTTCTTAACTTTTCTATTTTCTATTATCTTTTCATTCAAATTTCTGGGAGATTTTCTCATTTATATTTTCTATTTAAAAATATTCTGCTTTATATTTTTTATTTTATAATTCTGATTTCTCATTCTTGGATTGTCATTTTTAAAATATATAACCTGCTCTTATTTTATGGATTTAATATCTCCTGAGTATACTGATTACAGTACTTTTGAAAATGTCATTTTTTTTACAGTCTCTTTTCTTCTAAGTTCCCTCTTTTTATCAGTTTGTTTTTGATTCATTCTTTTCTTTTATTAATGTTAGTTCATGTCTTTTATTAACCCATATACAATTACTTGTCTTCTGATTTGTTGAAGTAATAGATCAGACAACATTTGCCACAATACCATCTGTCAAAGTGACTGGCCATAAAAACTCCAGCACCACATTCATCTGAAGGCCATTCCTGTGAGGGCGACTGATTTTGCCATTCTCATCTACTTTGGACAGCCAGCTTAACCTTCTTTCTCTTATGCTTATTCTTCTTGGGAGTGGTGTAAGACTTTTCCCTTTTCTTAGCACCACCACGAAGTCTCAACACAAGATGAAGAGTGGACTCCTTTTGAACGTCATAGTCATAGACAAAGTATGTCCATCTGCCAGTTGCTTGACAACAAAGATCAGTCTTTGCTGATCAGGAGGAATTCCTTCCTTATCCTGGATCTAGGCCAGGGGTGGGTAACCCCTGGCACACGTGCCAAACATGGCACGCCAGTAACTTTTGCTGGCACGCGAAACCCTCTCTTATAATCTTCCATTTACAATTATTTTCTTAATATCGACTTTTTTATTTTTCAGATAAATTCAGTGTAGGTGCATCTTAGATAAATAAATAATTTTACATAACAAGTTATCTTAAAGACCATAGACATGGATTGACGAAAGAGGGGAAGAGCAATTTCTATGCCTCTGCCTTAACTCTCCCTGCCTTCCTAGATCTGACCAGTGTTTTGGTTTCATCCACATACGCTTGTGAATCTTTGTTCTCAGTGATGAATTTTGTTAAGTCTCGTAATAGGAGTAGCCTGATGGATGAAAGTAGTAGCTCGTGCATATCTCTGAAGGTCACGAAATATAAACCTGATGTAAAATCTCTGTCATCAGTGATGCAGCAGCAAAAGTCCCACTGATAATATCAAACGGAGTCATAAAGTTTTCTGTCTGACTACCAGTGTACATGTATACATTAAAAAATAAATGTATTTTTCATCATCATATACTGTGTTTTTGTTGCTCGAATGAATTTTATTATTTCTTCAAGGTTCTTCACATACGTACACCTTAACATGTTCTCAAAAAATTAGGGTTGGCATGCAGAAGAATTTTGAGTCAGAGATTTTGCTGGTTTTGGCACGCACTCACAAAAAGGTTGCCCAGCCCTGATCTAGGCCTTTACATTTTTTTTATTGTATCCAAGGGTTCAACTTTGAGAGAGATGGTCTTCCCTGTAAGGACGTTCATGAAAATCTGCCATTACACCTCAAATGACGGATCGGAAAGGAAGAGCCTTGCCTCATTCTTTTATGGCAGAGGTTTTACTCAAATGCCCAGTGGTCCTCTAGTACCTATGGTGCTGCACTTGGATACTTTGGGGCTTGTCAACTGGTGGGCCTCCCTGTTGGAGGGCTGCAAGGACATGGCATGTTTACTGGGGGGCCTCAATCATTCACATCTGCAGGTCTTATTGCCTGAGCTTGACAGTTTCCCCAGAAAGGAATCCTATTGTTTCCTACCTGGTGAATAAGGGATTTTAAGATGGCTGATAGCATTTTGAGAGCCAATAGGGGAGGAGGGGGAGGAGAGCAAACAACTTATCTTTCTGAATGCAGGTATCACTTAGGAACTCTCTGCTTTAAGCATGGTAGCTACCCCCTCAGCTGTGCCTGGTTCCTTCCCTGTGTCATTCTCAGGTTAACCCAATCAATCAGAACCATGAAGCTACATAAATTCCATGAAGCTTTAGGTAAAAGGGCAATAACTTTTGAACCAGGGATTCTGGATTAAACAAAAACCAAAAAAGTTTCCTTTCGTCACCCACAACTTCCCTGCCCCCAAAGTGGGAAAATTAGCCAGCTTAAGCCCCTTTACCCTTCCCACTTAACCATGCTTCCCCCCCCTATGATAATGCCTGAGAACTTGAATATTCAGGGTCCAAGTTTGTTTTAAAATAACCCAATGAGCTGACAGACGGACCTCCTGGAATTCTGCAGCTTGTGCTAGAGTTTGCAGATGGAAAATTGCTGTCAGTTAAAGGGTAGTGCTATTACCATAGCCCGATTTTTGAAAGCCTTTAGGAAAAAAAAAATCATCTGAGTTAATTAGTATTCACCATACACACTAGTTTTATGTTGCAGTATTCTAAATACTCAGATAATAACAAACATAGTATTGCAGTTTCTAACTTGTAAGTAACATTTTACCTCTTAAAATGTAGATTACAAAGTAAGAATTTTACCTGTTATATGAATAAGTTCTTATATGGCTGATGTCTTAGATCAGTGGTTCTCAACCTGTGGGTCGCGACCCTTTGGGGGTTGAACGACCCTTTCACAGGGGTCGCCTAAGACCATCGGAAAACACATATATAATTACATATTGTTTTTGTGATTAATCACTATGCTTTAATTATGTTTAATTTGTAACAATGAAATTGGGGGTCACCACAACATGAGGAACTATATTAAAGGGTCGCGGCATTAGGAAGGTTGAGAACCACTGTCTTAGATGATCATAAAATATGAATTATGTTCTAAAATCAGCTAATTCTACTGGAACCTAATATAGGAGTACTTTCATTTACCTCGACAATCTGTTTAATCCACAAATCTCTTCCAAGAATCTCCTGATGTAAGACTACAGGAGCTGAGTTCAGATTAAATGTCGTGGAGTCACTAGTCTTTTCTTTAATAAAAGGCTGGAGATCAGAATTTATCTAGAAGTAGTGAAAAGAGTTAAATGAGTGAAATGCATATACACTGGTATGTCTTAGTCATATACAGAAAATACTAGGTAATATAGTGAAAAATAAAGTTTAAGAAATGCAGGTTTTAGGTGTACTTTAATAAGCCAAAAACCAGTTTATATGATTAACAATAATCTTTAAAATAATTTTTCCTTAACATATCCCTTTTTTATTTAGCAGAAACCTTTATTTTACTTTAAGTTCAAGGTCAGGATTTACAAAAACACTTAATAAATATAATTGCTTGATAAACTAACCTAAGATTTAATAAAATATGTAAAAAATTATCTGGACATATTACATTTATACTAATATTAGTGGCCCGGTGCAAAGGAAATTAATTAGAAGAAATATTTTAATATCACTATTCGCCCTTTCTCTATAATAGAAGTGTCAACCAAATTCACGATCGACAATGACAGGTCGAAACACACGCATGCAATTGGCGCCAGTGAGAGCTTTGTATGTATTGCACATGCGTGAGTCAACTTAGTCTTTTATATATATATATAGAATAAACTTACTTAATAAGACCTGCTTTCTGATTTAGCTAAACTTTTTCAGCCCAGTGAAGCATCCCAACTTCTCTTTCAGGTAATTGTCAGCAACACAGCAGTAAATATCAACATGAAGTACATTATTATTGTAGATCACACAGGGAGAACAAAGGGTTTGACTATATTCTGCACAGTGAGAAAACCTGAAGTCATTTTCAAGGTCCACCATTTCTTACTTCTTTTCAGTTGGATCAAGTTTCTAAACTTTCTAAGTATTCATTTTCCATGTAATGAAAAGAAAATAAGATTCTACTGAGTCTCCTATCTACCTACTCCAGGACTTCTGTGAGGATCAAATGAGATGAGGCACGGGAAAAATGCTTCACAGACATTTGGTTAAAGTGTAAAATGTTTGCACCTGGCTATAGTGTTCCTGGGCTGAAGAAACTCCAAGAAGGCTAGTCTCTTGGGAAAGGAAGCCAGGTGTTGCTATGTGATGTCATTACCTGGTGCCCACAGTGACTGTTTCTAGGCTGGGCTGTGGGCTGCATTTTGGCCATGGGGTCTCAGCAGCATTGGCTGCAATTTGGTGGGCTGTTGCCCCAGGGTGGTGGTGAGGCCTTTGTCCCACTTGGGAGAAGCCCAGTGTTGCTTTGTCAGTGCCAGGTCTATAGTGCCATTTATTGTTAAATGGCCTGTCACTAGGGAGAGGAAGACAAGTGTTGCTATGTGACATCATTACCTGGCACCCACAGCCACTGTTTCCAGGCTGCATTGGGCTGTGGGCTGCATTTTGCCCCATGGGTCTCAGTAGCATTGGCTGCGATTTGGTGGGCTGTCTCTCCAGGGTGGTGTCGGGGCCTGTGCCCCACTTGAGGGAAGCCGAGTGTTGCTTTGTCGGACCCAGGTCCATGGTACCATTTCTTTATAAATGGCCAGTGTGCATCATGGCAGCTCCTGTGTTGAGCGTCTACCTCCTGGTGGTCAGTGTGCATCATAGTGACTGGTCAGATGGTCGGAGGGACACTTAGCATATTAGCCTTTTGTATATATAGATAATGGCTGCGATTTGGTGGGCTGTCGCTCCGGGGTGGTGGCAGGGCCTGTGTCCCGCTTGGGGGAAGCCAAGTGTTGCTTTGTGGGCGCCAGGTCCATGGTGCCAGTGCGCATCAGGGCAGCTCCTGTGTTGAGTGTCTGCTCCCTGGTGGTCAGCGCATGTCATAGCGACCAATTGGAGGGTCGGACATTTAGCATATTGCCTTTTATATATATAGGTATTTCCCCCTTCTTATAAGCTATTTAAGTAACACTTAAGGTATAAATATATTAAATACAATTTTACAATTATATATCCATAGAGGAAACAATGCAACAGCTAATCTTAGGACATTTTATATTTTATTATGCCCATTCAAAAGAATCAGTTATTAGAAGTAAAGCTTTTAATTTTATTCAGTATATTTCCAAATTTCATTAATTTTCCATAATTTGCTTTACATAAGGAACTAGAAGGGAACTGTAACAAAAATGAAAATATTCTATTCTATAAATAGCAACATTACATGTAATTTAATAACTGCAAGAGTTCTTTCAAGAACCCTTTCAGATGGTAAGAAAAGACAAATATCACAAATATGGTTAAAGTAAGCTGCAGCTTTCTGTCAAAATTACACAGTATTCACCAATCACACTGTTTATATAACAATCACTGTCTATGACTGATAGGTTTTCAACACACAATAAGCATTTTTTGAGAAAAAGCTTACCAAATGGCCAAAAAGTTCTGATGTATCATTTTAGCTCTTTAAGCACGGAGAAGGAGAAAGGGTGTGCAAATACCTTATGACTCATGGCCATGTGCTTCCCATACTGAAATGCCATATCCTGAACCTCAGCATCATGCTTTGCTAATTCCATTGCAGCTTGGCAGCTCTTTGCTAATAAGGCACCATGGGAGAGAAAAGTCTGCTCCTTCCAAGTCGATATTCCAATGTCATTTGTGATAGAATCTTCCTAAAAAATGCAACAAAAACCAAGACAAAAAGGTGTTGGGAGTAACCGAATTGTTTCAGATTTTAAAGAATAAAAGTTAAGATGTAAACTATTCAAAATACTCATGCTAGTGCCACAAGACAGAACTAAGAGATGCTGAACCTACCTAAAGAGAGCTAAGGGGGCGAGAACTGCCTTTTTAAAAAATAAAGGGCCCATATTCTTTATTTTTATTTTTTAACTGATTTCAGAGAGGAAGGGAGAGGGAGAGAGGGATAGAAACAGTAATGGTGAGAGAGAAACCCTGATCAGCTGCCTCCTGCACGCCCCCCACTGGGGATTGAGCCCGCAGTCCAGGACCCTTCCAACGCTCTATCCACGAAACCAAACTGACTAGGATGAGAACTGCCCTTTTTAGGGTAAGGGGGGAAATGAAAAAAAAATGATGAAGCAAATTTTATCTTTAGATAAGGGGCTTCTGTTAAAATATATTTTTGGAATAAAGCAAAATTAGATAATTGGACCTCTAACTCCCTTCTATATTCAAATCAGTTCTTAAGTGCTAATATTCTAAAATACAAGAATCCTATTTCCTTTAACTTATATGAAAATGTCAAAGGCGTAAGGAAGGAACTACAATCTTTTGTAAACAGTTAAATAGAGAAATCAGAGAGGAGGCAACCCATCATAATTTACTAGTATAATTAGATTATTCATCACACTTTATTTCCATCAGAAGAAACAACAGAATAGAGGATATAACTGCAGTTTAATTTCATCCTTTTTAAATTATGAAAATCATTACAGTATCTGTGAGTATACAAACACTTACTGACTCTAGACCAGTGATATCCAATAAAAATATAATGTAAGCCACATGTGCAATTTAAAATTTGCTAGGAGCTACATTAAACCAGTGAAAAAAGAGGTGAAATTAATCTTAATCCCATATTTTATTTATCCCAATATCAAAAATACTATTTCTATATATACTCAATATAAAATTATAAATGAAATAATTACATTTTTAATACTAAGTTTTCAAAACTAGTGTGTATTTTATACTTACAGCACCTCACTAGCCACATTTCAAGTACTTAACAGGTAGAGGAGCTAGTGGCTAGCCAGCCGTGGGCAAACTACGGCCCGCGGGCTGGATCCTGCCCGTTTGAAATGAATAAAACTAAAAAAAAAAAAAAGACTGTACCCTTTTATGTAATGATGTTTACTTTGAATTTATATTAGTTCACACAAACACTCCATCCATGCTTTTGTTCCGGCCCTCCGGTCCAGTTTAAGAACCCATTGTGGCCCTCGAGTCAAAAAGTTTGCCCACCCCTGGTAGCCTATTGGACAGCTCTGCTCTGCGCAGTGAGCTCTCTGAGGACAAGAATGGTGAAGTAAATATATAAAACAATGTTTACTGTATGGTGTTTCTTTGAAACCTTTAACTAGAATTAATGGACAATGATTAATTAACTGAAACATTTTACTTCTGGCCACCCATACCATAATCCTCCTTTCACCATTATTTGAGGACAAAATAAAAAATAATGAGTAAACTTTAAAAGGAACCATTAACGCCCAGCCAGCGTGGCTCAGTGATTGAGCCTCAACCCATGAACCAAGAGGTCCTTGGTTTGATTCCCGGTCAGGGCACATGCCCAGGTTGTGGGCTTGACCCCCCAGTAGTGGTTGTACAGGAGGCAGCCAATCGATGGCTCTCTCTCATCATTTATGTTTCTATCTCTTTCTCCCTCTCCCTTCCTCTCTGAAATCAATAAAAACATATATTAAAAATTTAACAAAAAATTTAAGCTAAGTGAAAGGAGCCAGCCACAGGAAACCACATATTATACATTCCATTTATTTGAATTGTAGATTAGTGGTTGCCTAGGCTGGGGTGGGAACTAAAAATGGCCATGAAGGACCTTAGGGGGCATGTTTGACAATGTCCTAAAACTGACAATTATACAACTCAATAAAGTAACTAAAAATCATTAAATTTTATGGTTAAAATGGGTTAATTTTAAGATGTCAAATATATCTCAATAAAGTTGTTTAAAAAGAAAAAAGGTAATGAGTATAATTTTACATTTTTTGGCTTCAAGTGTTTAAATTAACATTTAAAAAATTTATGCAGCTCTTAATGAACTTTTTGTGGTTTGTATTCTACCCAACTTTAATCATACAACAAACATTTATTTAGGTTCTATTATAGGTCAGGTTCTCTGTGAAGCAATATAGATATGACGATTTTAAATAGACTGTCCTCAAGAAGTTCACAGTTCAGAAATGGCTTGTATATATCCCTATACCTTTGTATATATGCAGATATAAATATATTGATAAATCAATATAGTTCCCTGGTAGGCAGACAGGCATGAGCAGAGCAAGGACAATGGGCCAGGTACAGAAGGTCACCAGGGCAGAAAGCCTCGGGTGCCTAGCAACAGGCAAAAATGGGAAAACCAGGACCACGCCCCCAGGGTCATCTTTTGTTTCCTAACATATTGCTGGTCATTTGGTTCAGACCTAGACCTCCTGACCTTTCATATCGTGGGTCATGCAGTTTGGACCCGCCCCTGACCTCTCCCCCTGCCCCCGCATGTCACTAGTCTTGTGGCAGAACCCCTTTGAGGAGAAACAAGGGGCCGAAGAGTGGCCTCATGCCACTCTCATGTGGGCCCCTAGCACAACCACTCTGAAGCATTAACCCCTAGGGATAATATCTAGGTTTCAGTTGTATTTCAGCTCCAGGCCCAGAAAAGCAGCAAAACAGGGCAAGCGATGCCATGTCTGACATAAGGGCCAGCTGAGATGACTAATGACCTGTCCTAGTGCCAACCAATCAGTGGAGACCATGTCCTGGAAAGCTGATGAATTGTCCATTGAGATCTTCCCCTGAAACACTCGCCTTTTGAGTAGATAAAAGGCTTTAAGAGGAAGAACCCTATGTGGCTAGTATGGAACACACACATGCCTTTCATCACCATTTCCCCTAAGAACCTTTTCCTTGCCTCGCTCTTTCTCCTAAGCTCCAAGGGCCCTTCTTTTGCCTCTGTAACTTGTTTCCTGAGCCCATTTTTTTCCTATGGCTCACTTCTTCTACCTCTGTGACTTTCTAAATAAACTATTTTTTTTTTTTTTTATAGTTTGAGTCTTGGCTCTCAATTCTTTCTTAGCCAGAACTCAAATGCAGTTGCTGAACCAAGTTCCAATCTCCAGTAACATTCTGGTGCCATTTTGCTGTCAACAGTTCTATTTCAGAATTATTCTTACAGAATATCCAATGATCAAAGATTAGTTTTGTTCATTATATTTTTCTTATTATAATGAAGACATTTTATTATTCATCATTTCTACATTTTCAATTATGCAATACACGATCATTGAAAAAAACTTAGAAAATGCAGATAACAAAGAAACAATTAGTTTATAGTCTCTTGAAATCTGCTACCATAAGTTAATCAGACAATAAATCAATAATTCTGTTTCTAAGTTAATCAGAGATTTTATTCCCTGAACATGAAATTATTACTTATTATGAACTTGGTTAAAAATGTAACAGTCCCTCCATTCATTTTCAATTGTAAAATACCGAGAAACTGGTTTGATAACCACATCCAAATCAGTATTTTCAGACAGAAGATATATAGAATTGGTATGAAATGAATGAATGCAGTCAGGGTAAATGAGATTTAGATATACTCACAGCATCAACTTACATATGTGCACTTTTTACTGAAGATTTATTATTTATTAAAGGAAGATACATTCAGTGAATATTTATTTTTGATGGAATTCTTTTTTTTCCAGAAAGGTAAATGTATGCCAACATACCTATCAAATGACTATCAGATAGAAGTACATTAATTTTAAAAATATAGGTCTCTTATTCACTGTCACATGATCTTTTTGCTCAAATAAAGCTAGTTCAAAAACACACAGGAAAAAAAAACCTGAAGCTTGCAAGACAATGTTTGCCGGAGACAGTGGTACTGGGGGTTTTGCTCACATATAAAATGCTGTTCTGCTACTGAGATATCTGGGGGATGTGTACTTTGAGTTGCTTTTTAAACAGTAGTAGTACATTTGTACATACCTATTTACATGACAACAAAGTGTGTTTATAAAAGTGGCTGCTTGGGATTAAAGGTCTAGTTCAGTGGTTCTCAACCTGTGGGTCGCGACCTCTTTGGGGGTTGAACGATCCTTTCACAGGGGTCGCCTAAGACCATCGGAAAACACATATATAATTACATATTGTTTTGTGATTAATCACTATGCTTTAATTATGTTCAATTTGTAACAATGAAAATACATCCTGCATATCAGATATTTACATTACGATTCATAACAGTAGCAAAATTACAGTTATGAAGTAGCAATGAAAATAATTTTATGGTTGGGGGTCACCACAACATGAGGAACTGTATTAAAGGGTCGCGGCATTAGGAAGGTTGAGAACCACTGGTTTAGTTCATGGTCACAGAAAAAAAGGCAAAATAGCCCTAGCTGGTTTGGCTCAGTGGATAGAGCGTCGGCCTGTGGACTGAAGGGTCCCAGGTTTGACTCTGATCAAGGGCACATGCCTGGGTTTCGGGCTTGATCTTCAGTAGGGGGCATGCAGGAGGCAGTCAATCAATGATTCTCTCTCATCATTGATGTTTCTATCTCTCTCTCCCTCTCCCTTCCTCTCTGAAATCAATCTATCTTCTATATATAAAAGGCTAAGTGACCGACCGTCCATCTATCTGACCAACCACCCGGCTGGTACATATGACAGGCACTGGCAATTTAAAAATAATTGTTGATTTGCACATTTATGATACATATAAAGCTCTTGCTGGCACCAATCGCATGTGTGTTTTAATTTTATAACACTATATTATTTTGACATGTAATTTTTTGCAGTAACGTAATTACCGCATGAATCTTTCTTCTAATTAATTTCCTTTCAATGTGCACGAGTCCGTGCACTGGGCCACTAGTAAAAATATATTTTAAAAAAAAGCAAG